ATTTGTGGACTCGTCATGCACACCCTCTTTACCGTGCATCAATGCCAATGGTTTAATTTTTAACCATCTTGAAGTGTATTCGTTTGGATGATTCCAGAACTCGAGAAACTAGAAGACAACTCGACAAGGCAGCTCCGATCTCGGAAATATTTTCTTTCATCAAATTAAATTTGAGAAACAACTATCGCCCTAATGAATCTATTACAATTGATGAACAACTCTTCGGCTTTCGAGGGCGCTGTCCTTTTAGCCAATACATCCCGTCTAAGCCAAATATGGTCTAAAGATATTTTGGGCTGCCGACTCGAAAACTCACTCTCCGTTGCAAGGACAGCTCTATCTGGGATAACTTCCAGGCGAAGCAAGAAACAAAGATCTTGGAGAGAAAGTTGTGTTACGATTGGTGAGACATTGGGAAAACTCAGGTCGAAACATTACCATGGGCAACTATTTCACTATTCTAGCACTAGCAGAAGAGCTAGTCAAGAAAAAGCTAAGCATGATTGGCACAATTCGCCGGAATAAAAGGTGTATTCCTGCAGAGCTGATGTGCAAACCAGGCGACCAAGTTGGAAAAAGCACGTTTGCATTTCGAGAGAATACAACATTAGTGTCATATGTGACAAAGAGGAACAAATCGGTTGTTCTGCTTTCAACAATGCACAAAACCGATGAGATAGACACAAACTCAGAAGCTCGCAAACCGTTAATTATTTTGGACTATAACAATACAAAAGGAGGTTTGTAAAAGTATTCGGGAATTCTAACCTGACACAATGGCCCAAATGTGCTCAAAATATTCCTGCAAGCGTGCAACGAGACGCTGGCCCCTGGCGATGTTTTATAATTTAGTTGACATCGCTGCCCTCGCCACCTATATCATATATGCCGAAAATCAGTCAAATATTATGCCATCTAATTTGACGCGCCGTCGATTTCTGGTTCAATTATCTTTGGATCTATGCCACAACAACATCCTGCGACGCTCCCAAAATCAGCACGTCATTGGCAAGCCGAATCTTAGGTCAGCAATTTGCGACATGCTTGGCTATGAACTGCCTCTCACCGCACAATATGAGCCTGAGATATCCCAGTTGAATGAAAGTAGTCGCACTAAAATTCAAGGCAAATGTCACATATGCGCTTCGCAGGATAAACGTCAGCGCAATTCTCGTAAGCGGTGCACAAAGTGCGAAAAACCAGTTTGTAACCAACATACTAAGAGGGGAGAAACTTGCCAGGCTTGCTAAGCCATTTCTTCGTTGGTTTTGTTAATTTTCCCAAAATATTTTTGCTATGTAAATCAAACAACTTACCAAATTTTATTTAAAAATAACCTTTGATAAAAAAATCAAACATTATCTTTCATTTCCTAGTCGTGTTGCCATAGATTAAGTGTTCATGCTCGTAGTCACCCGGGTGACTAATACTACAACAAACCATAAACCTAGCTGACCCAAGTCGCCAAAAATCAATAGAAATTAGCTAGGAATTAGGTGTCTTTTAGGTCTTAATTAGGGCCTCCAAAATTAATGTAGGTGTTCCTTTGGCTTCCGAGAAATTCGCAAAAATGTGTGCTGACCAACTCATTTTTGCGAATATCTGGGAAACCAATGGAGCTACTAAATTAGTTTTAGTGGCGTTGAAGAACACCTAAAAGACACCTAATTCCTGCATATATGTATTTTACGTAAACCTAGCTGACCCACAAATTTTTGCGAATTTCTCGGAAACCAAAGGAACACCTAAATTAATTTTGGAGGCCCTAATTAACACCTAAAAGACACCTAATTTCTAGCTAATTTTTATCGATTTTTGGCGACTTGGGTCAGCTAGGTTTATGGACGTCAAACGGAGGGTTAAGTAAACAAAGAACAAAATAGATAATAGGGATGAAGAGTTCTATCGAGCCACATTCTTGGTTTGTCCATAGCTAAACGGCTGGAATATTTGACTAATGCCAAAAATTTCACTTCACATTTGACATCAGTGACGAAAAACGGAATGTCAATCACCTGACACCAAAATTTTGGCGACAGTCTTTGACATGCACTGCGATATCTAAATTTGATCAGTTTTTATGATGTATTTGACACCAAGTGAACGGCAGTTTTTGATGTCAGTAATTTTGACAATGAAAACCAAGCGTTAGATAAAGTTTTAAGATCATAAAGCATCTGAAATCTTATTTATTTTTTATGAATTTACTTGTATAGCTGGGATGTGTAATTATTTAAATCAATAAATTATTCACTGTATGGAAGCCAATGCGACAAAAAGAATTCTAAACAAGTAAGAAAGTCTAAGTTCGGGCGGAGCCGAACATTAAATACCCGGCGCAAGTATTAAATATATGTTTTTTCACCTTTCCGAAACCTACCGCTAGATGGTAAGGGGTGTATCAATTTTGAGTAAATTAGCGTCCTTAAATTTCGAATATATTGAAGTTTCAAGCATTTCTGAAATTTACCGTTATATGAAAAGCGGCCGTAATTTTACCCGATTTCAATAATTTTCAACGTTTTGCTTATATGTGGCAAGCACAATAACCATACCGTGTTTGGTACAAATTGGTAGAACGGTTACCGATATACATATATGTGATCATAAGTGGGCGGTGCCACGCCCATTTTCCAAAATTTTACCATAACGTATTTCTTGGTAAAGAAATGTTGCAAGCATCAATTTTGAATAAATTAGTCTTCAATATTTACTGATTTATCGAAGATTTTGTATTTCTCTAAATTACCGTTATATAGGATGTGGGCGTCGTTATGTCCGATTTTAAAAATGTTTCGGCGATTTTTTATGCTGTACCAAGGCCAACAACTGTGCCAAGTTTCGAAGAAATTGGTACAGCGGTTGCCGAGATATACACATGTAACCATAAGTGGGCGTGGCTACGCCCATTTTCCAAAAATGTATAACACTCTTAGTTTTCGTCTAAAATTGTTGTAAATAATTATTTTGAGTGAATAATCTTCAGTAGTTACTAAAATATCGCAGTTTTCGTATTTCCGAAAATTACCGTTATATGGGAAGTGGGCGTGGTTACAGTCCGATTTCGCCCATTTTCAATACCAACCTACCTTGGATTAAGGGAAACCTACATACCAAATTTCGTTGAGATATCTCAATTTTTGCTCGAGTTATCGTGTACACGGACGGACGGACAGACGGACAGACGGACGGACAGACAGACATGGCTTAATCGATTTCTTTTTTCATCCTGATCATTTATGTATACATTTGTCTATATCTATCTCGATTCGTTTTGGCTGTTACAAACAACCGTTATGGGAACAAAATTAATATACCCTTGTGCACAAGTGCGCTCGGGTATAAAAATAAACGGTAATTCGTAGCCACTTCAAATTTGCACATAATCAGACTAAAATTGAAGGGGCTAAAAAACTGTGTACTCAAAAAAATTCTAACACTTCCGAGAAAAAAAGTTTGAAATTTATGTGAAAATTTGTTGCAGTTTTTTGTAGCTTTCTACAAATTATTAAGCTTGGGTTTCTATCGGGTTTGTCTGAGAAAGAACTATATTTTAATTGAAAATTCTTAAAAATTAATAAATAAACATAAGTGACACACAATATCACTTTGAAATGGCGTGCTATAGATATGACCCATACTGTATATTTTAAAATAAATTTTCAGTAAATATATATTGATATATTTACACTAGCAAATGCCCGCTTGCTTCGCGGCGCCTAATAAGATCTTTTGCGTTGGCCAAATCAAAAATAGCGTTTAAAAGCAAAAACAGTCTGTAAAGTAAACATTTTTAGTTTAAATTGAAACGACTAAAAAACGGAATCCTCCTCACACATATGCCAAGAATAGTAGCGCTGTGATTCCATATGGAATACTAATCCCTTTCGATGTAATACGTTTTACCTATGGTCTTATTTCCACCTGTGAGATCTCTGCCAAGCGTGCGCAATATTCTTCTATGATCCTGCAACTTCAGCATTGGTCCGGTGTACCATGTAAGCCAATAAAAGTCATATGGAAACTCAAGAGCACAGATGAGCGTTTTCAATTATAGGAGGGCCAAGAATCCTCGCTGCCCCACAGGATGAAAAGTTTTCGCTTGAGTCGTGTGATCTCATGAATATCGTTCAAATGAAACCATTGATATACCTATCGTGTTCCTTCTTGGTCAGATGTGGTCGAATCTTTCCTTGTCAATTCGGCACTTTTACAACTCGTCTTAATATTTATGATGTGGTTTCTTTGAGTCTTACTGCTGTAATAACGCCTCGAGCAACTTCGTCAATCGGAGGTAGATGGAAGATCACGCTTACATAGTGTTACGGTCTTTATATGCATACTTAAAAGCATCCTTAATTTAGCCATCTGAAAAAAAATTCGTCTAAGATAAACAAACCCCGTGGAGGTTTCTATATATTTCAACCACCAAAACAGTTGCTTTTAACTACTCGCGTTGTAATTTTGTGGAATTAAATAATTTGTTTGAGCTGGATTGGTCTCGGCAGTTTGAAAATGTGGATGTAGCTGGCTGTTACGATATTTTTAAATCTATTATAGTTGACACTTGCGTGAGTCACATCCCGATGCACAGTGGTCAATAAATGGGATTTAATGTTCATAATTCACTGGAGCCTTCATTTCTCAACCGATTTCATTAATTATTTTTTTAAATGAAAGCTAATAAAATTTGCAAGAGACTAGTTGAGCCCAATTTTCGAATTTTTATTTGTTTGTATTAAATTTTTTAGTGCAAAGTGCAGAAATGGCGCCAATTTTGAAGAAGACCGATTCTCCTGTTCCAGCTAATAAAAGTTTCATAATAAAAACTAGTTAAAAACAATTGTAGGGTTCTCCTAAAACAACAAAATAAATTAAAAAGTAATATTTTGAAATGTTATAAAAAAAATGTTACCAAAAGTATTTTTTTTGTTTTTAGTTTTTATAAAAATTTTGGGTATGCAGTTTTGTAGATTACTAAATTTTAGTATTATAAAGTGCAAGTTGTAAGTCGCTAAGAGATCGCGTTGATTTTTTTTAATTTTTTCGCTAACATTAATGTCTTACAGAGGTAAATTCAACAAACTCAACAAGTCTTTTCATCGAAATTATATTCGTAATATAGAAAGCAATATTAAATGTAACCCCAAGGCCTTTTGGAGTTACATAAAAGCTAAGAAAAACTGCTCAAATATACCTGCGTCGGTTCATCTTAAAGGGGTTTCAGCTAATTCCATCTCTGATGCTGCTAATCTGTTTGCTAAATTTTTTTCTTCGAATTTTATTTCAGACGATGCTGATCATGGCTTTGTCCCTGAAGCTCTCCTGTTTAATTCAGATACTTCCATCAACTTCGGGAAATTAGATTTGACTGCCGAAGATGTCATTGATGGCATTAATAAGCTTAAGCCATCCACTAATACAGATGTCGATGGCTTATCGGTCGTTCTAATTAAAAGTTGTCCTGCCTTGATTAAGCCTCTATGGCACATTTTCAACATGTCACTTGCTGCTGGAGTCTTCCTTGATGACTGGAAATTGACTTTTATTACGCCTATCCTTAAAAGCGGGAATAAAAATGATATTGAGAGTTATAGGCCAATTTCCAAGCTAACCACAGTTTCTAAACTGTTTGAGTGCATAGTTAAGGACAAAATATACTTTGCCGTCAAACATATGATATGTCCTAATCAACATGGCTTTGTTCCGGGCAGATCTACCTTAACTAATTTAGCTGCATTTACGGAGGATTGTCTGGATACCTTTCAAAGGGGTTTTCAAATGGATGCAATCTACGCAGATTTTTCTAAGGCTTTTGATAGGGTATCTCACCAATGTTGATAGCTAAATTTGAGCGTCTAGGCTTTCACTCCCAATTTCTAAAGTGGATAACTTCCTATTTAGATAACAGACAATGTGTCGTTCGACTCGATAATATATCGTCTTACTCTTTTGTTGCTTCCTCTGGTGTTCCCCAGGGTAGTGTCCTAGGCCCGTTACTATTTGTCCTTTTCATTAATATTTCCTCATGTTTTTCCAAGTGTAATTACCTTCTATATGCGGATGACCTGAAGATATATTATGAAATTAAATGCCCAGAAGATTCACCCATTCTCCAGTGTGAGTTGGATAACTTATATAGTTGGTGTGTGTGTAATCGTTTGTTCCTCAACATCAGTAAATGTCACTATTCTTCTTATGCGAAAGTTTTCAGTTTTGTTCCAACATCTTACTGCACCTCAAACTCGCCGCTAATGATAATAAGTGAATGTAAAGACCTGGGCGTCTATTTTGACTCCAAGCTCAACTTCACAACTCACATAAATTATATTGTTTCTAAATCGTTCACTATGTTGGCCTTTATTCGTCGAAACTGTTCTTCGTTTTCTGATCACTATACTCTCAAACTGTTGTACTCGTCCTTAGTTCGGTCCAGGTTAGAATACGCGGTATTCGTTTGGAGAACGTTTCATGCAGTCCATGTTAATGCATTAGAGTCTGTTCAGCGAGCTTTTGTGCGCTTTGCTTTGCGCTCGATGAATTTTGTAGATCCCATTCCGTCCTATAGCTCTCGTTGCTTACTAATAAACCTCATGTCCTTAGAGTCTAGGCGTGCTATGTTGTCGATGTGTTTTGTCTTTGATATCTGTGCGGGATCAATAGATTGTCCGTACCTGCTCATGGATATTAATTTTAATGTTCCCTCACGCATTCTCCGCTGTAATGAATTGTTTTTCGTGGGTATAGCTAAAACNCCGAAGATGTCATTGATGGCATTAATAAGCTTAAGCCATCCACTAATACAGATGTCGATGGCTTATCGGTCGTTCTAATTAAAAGTTGTCCTGCCTTGATTAAGCCTCTATGGCACATTTTCAACATGTCACTTGCTGCTGGAGTCTTCCTTGATGACTGGAAATTGACTTTTATTACGCCTATCCTTAAAAGCGGGAATAAAAATGATATTGAGAGTTATAGGCCAATTTCCAAGCTAACCACAGTTTCTAAACTGTTTGAGTGCATAGTTAAGGACAAAATATACTTTGCCGTCAAACATATGATATGTCCTAATCAACATGGCTTTGTTCCGGGCAGATCTACCTTAACTAATTTAGCTGCATTTACGGAGGATTGTCTGGATACCTTTCAAAGGGGTTTTCAAATGGATGCAATCTACGCAGATTTTTCTAAGGCTTTTGATAGGGTATCTCACCAATGTTGATAGCTAAATTTGAGCGTCTAGGCTTTCACTCCCAATTTCTAAAGTGGATAACTTCCTATTTAGATAACAGACAATGTGTCGTTCGACTCGATAATATATCGTCTTACTCTTTTGTTGCTTCCTCTGGTGTTCCCCAGGGTAGTGTCCTAGGCCCGTTACTATTTGTCCTTTTCATTAATATTTCCTCATGTTTTTCCAAGTGTAATTACCTTCTATATGCGGATGACCTGAAGATATATTATGAAATTAAATGCCCAGAAGATTCACCCATTCTCCAGTGTGAGTTGGATAACTTATATAGTTGGTGTGTGTGTAATCGTTTGTTCCTCAACATCAGTAAATGTCACTATTCTTCTTATGCGAAAGTTTTCAGTTTTGTTCCAACATCTTACTGCACCTCAAACTCGCCGCTAATGATAATAAGTGAATGTAAAGACCTGGGCGTCTATTTTGACTCCAAGCTCAACTTCACAACTCACATAAATTATATTGTTTCTAAATCGTTCACTATGTTGGCCTTTATTCGTCGAAACTGTTCTTCGTTTTCTGATCACTATACTCTCAAACTGTTGTACTCGTCCTTAGTTCGGTCCAGGTTAGAATACGCGGTATTCGTTTGGAGAACGTTTCATGCAGTCCATGTTAATGCATTAGAGTCTGTTCAGCGAGCTTTTGTGCGCTTTGCTTTGCGCTCGATGAATTTTGTAGATCCCATTCCGTCCTATAGCTCTCGTTGCTTACTAATAAACCTCATGTCCTTAGAGTCTAGGCGTGCTATGTTGTCGATGTGTTTTGTCTTTGATATCTGTGCGGGATCAATAGATTGTCCGTACCTGCTCATGGATATTAATTTTAATGTTCCCTCACGCATTCTCCGCTGTAATGAATTGTTTTTCGTGGGTATAGCTAAAACTGTCTATGGGATGAATACTCCTTTTAGGAGGGCGCTAGCACAGTTTAATGCGTATTCTTCTTCCTTGGACTTTGTATTCTCATACTCTAAGACTACTTTTAAGAATCTACTTATAAGGCTCTTGTCATAAGGTCTTTGTATTTAACTATCATATAGTCTGTAAACATCCTGTTTGTTTTTGATTAATAAATAAATAAATAAATAAATATTTCGGGTGCAGCGTCATCCGTTGGGTCCCTTTTCTGCAAAACCTTTGCTTGTCATGAAATCAATACGAATTATGAACTCTAATCAGATTTAAAAAAAAAAAAACACGGATTTTCTAAATACCTAAACTCCAGCGGGTCCATTTTTAGCAAAGGAATTTTTCATCATACAGGTAGTCATGCTGCGAATTTGAACGAAAGCTGTTAATAAATACGACTTTTATAACTAACTCTACTCCAGCGCCACCAGCGTGTTTTCTAGTAGCCTATAATAGGACCTCCGACAATTTGACTGGGCTCTATTGAGTGGTTTTTGAGTTTAGTACGAAAAACGGAAATGGCTATCATTTTATGTATGTAATCTTCTTTATCCTGAGTTTCGCCCAAAAAAAATTCACGAGAAAATTTTGATTCCCCCCATAGTAAGGATATGGAAACCAAAAGCGAAAAGTGATCCGGTTCAGCGAAGATGAAACTCATGATAAGGACGTCCATAAACCTGGCTGACCCAAGTCGCCAAAAATCAATAAAAATTAGCTAGGAATTAGGTGTCTTTTAGGTGTTAATTAGGGCCTCCAAAATTAATTTAGGTGTTCCTTTGGTTTCCGAGAAATTCGCAAAAATGTGTGGGTCAG